TTTGAACAATTTTTAAAGGTGACCACCAAAGGAACATTCCTGTGAAGTTTGAATGAAATTGGCTTAGTGGTTTATGAGGAGATGTCATTTAAAGAAAAAGTTTACGGACGGACGGACGGACGTCCGTCCCACCGAAATGGAATAAGGGGCCATTTCTTTTGTTATTTTCTATTGTTTAATAGAGGGCCAATTCTATTTTATTCTATTATTATTCTATTGTTACGGAATGAATTCTATTGTTCTCATTTGTTCTGTTTACAGTTAGATGGCCCCCTATCCCTATTCGGTAGTGCGGAGGAACGGCCGGCCGAACGGACGGATGCCGGACGAAAAGCGATCACAAAAGCTCACACTGTCACTTTGTGACAGGTGAGCTAGAAATAACTCAGATGGCCAAACAAAATTCTATAAATATCTTTCAGAATTTACCTGTGACATTCAGTTTATAAAAAGAGTGGGGCAGTATTTTACATTTTAGGCTGATTTATATTTTATTATAAACATTTTCCAGAATCAACTGTTGGCCAATTACCATTTTTGAAATATATAGTCAATTCAACTGAACTTGACAATGAAAAAATGAGCATAATGTCACTAAGTAATGATATAAAATCATTTAAAACTTTATGAGGTTAACTTTCTAGCAATCCACTTTCTCATAATCATATGTAAAAATAATCCACAAGTGGGTTTATTTTTCATTTGACAAAAAAGTATGGCAATGACGAAAATTGGTTGTCAAATTTACCGTCATGTTCATAATTTCTTAACATGCAGTGTAGTGTCTGTAATAACAGATAACAAAAATCAAATAATGCATTTTCCTACAAAATTACATTAAAGGCTGATTATACCTTGGAAATTATTTTTTTTCTTTTTCTTTAGGAATGTCAAAAATGTGTTTAATAATGTTTTAACAACGGATTAAGAGCTTGTGAGTAGTTTAATAACTGAAAAAAATATGCAGTCCTGTGTCCCAAAGGTAGCAAAATGTAAACAAAGTAATATTTCCACTTCCATACAAAATAGCTATTCAATGTAATTAAACCAAGTGCTAACAGAGCAAAATAAGTAACAAATATTTCAACTATATGAAAAATGAGTTTCTTTTTCTCCAAACTGTAACAAGATACCAAAAATAAGAAATAATTAGAAATAAGACTTACAGCTTTTCCCATGGCATAATGGGCCTTTAATTAATTTAAGTCTTACTATCAATTGCATTTTCTCTTTAACCTTTATATCCCAAAAATTGATAATGGACAGTTCCAGATATGGAAACTGAACAAGTCAACTATAGAAATTCAGACAGTTAAAGGGTATAAAGCTATAGCTTATCGAAATACTTATAAAAAAATTTATTTATTGTAAAAAAACTGTTTCTTCCATAATCTTTTGCTTGATTATCCAACAGATTGTTACACAGAATGTCTCTGATATTGATTAACACAACACATGAAGGTTGTATGTGAAAAGAATAAAATGTTACACAACAAAATATTACACTCCTCTACTATTTTACATGATCAATGATTTTGTGCATGTACTATTTGCTGTTTAGGAAATAATTGATATGCTAACATATTTGTTTCAATCAGGTATTTTGGAATGATTTTTTTTAAATCTAAGCAATAATTTTGTTAACTCCAGGATGCAATATAGTTTTATACACTTTAAGAGTTAATAAATATAGCAAGGGGAAGAAATTGCAGACAACATAGAACACAATATGAGAAAACAAGATAAAGTCTTTAAACTAAATTAACATGTAATATATTATCATGTACAAAAATCACAAACAGTAACAAAACAATACCTAACAAAATCAAATAAAGAGTGTAAACATATTCAGGATAAATCAGGAATGGTAGCATATTATATGACCAATCTGATAATCTTTACCACTTTTACTTTGAGCAAAATCTTTACCACTTATACTCGGATTGTAACCTTTACCACTTATACTTGGAGAGTAACCTTTACCACATATACATGGAGTGTAACCTTTACCACTTATACTTGGAGTGTAATCTTTACCATTTATATCTGGAGTGTAACATTAACCACTTATACTTGGAGTGAAATCTTTACAACTTATACTTGGAGTGTAATCTTTACCACTTATACTTGGAGAGTAACATTTACCACTTATACTTGAAGTGTTATCTTTACCACTTATACTTGGAGTGTTATCTTTACCACTTATACTTTTCTTCTGGTTCGGACGAGTTTGGATTAGACAGGTTCCACTATACTTGGAGTGTAATCTTTACCATTTATACCTGGTGTGTAACATTTACCACTTATACTTGGAGTGTAATCTTTACCACTTATACTTGGAGTGTAATCTTTACCACTTATACTTGGAGTGTAACCTTTACCACTTATACTTGGAGTGTAATCTTTACCACTTATACTTGGAGTGTAATCTTTACCACTTATACTTGGAGTGTAACATTTACCACTTATACTTGGAGTGTAATCTTTACCACTTATACTTGGAGTGTAATCTTTACCACTTATACTTTTCTTCCGGTTCGGACGAGTTTGGATTAGACAGGTTCCACTATACTTGGAGTGTAATCTTTACCATTTATACCTGGTGTGTAACATTTACCACTTATACTTGGAGTGTAATCTTTACCACTTATACTTGGAATTTAACATTTACCACATATACTTGGAATGCATATCAAACTTTAGATCCCAATACCATCCAATTATACATCTTTGAAACAGCTTCCATTTTATTTAGCCTAAGTAATGAATAAAGGCCAAACATGACGTGTATGATAATACTAGTATTGTGTCCTTGTAGAGCAGACGTATGTGAGATGCTGATTACATAAAAATTATGGCAATGAATATGAAATTATTTGTGTAATCCATAAAAACATTCTACATATTCCCTCAAAGCTCTCAACATAATCCACGGAGCACTTAACATACAACTGTACTTCAGCTGTGCACTAATCATATTGCCTAAAGGTTCACCACATAATCCACATAGCACTCAACATATTCTCTCAAAGCTCTTCACATAATCCACACAGCACTCAACATATTCCCTCAAAGCTCTTCACATAATCCACATAGCACTCAACATATTCCCTCAAAGCTCTTCACATAATCCACATAGCACTCAACATATTCTCTTTAAGCACTGAAAATATTCTCTCAAATCTTAACATAATTCACAAAGCTCTCAACATATTCCCTTCAAGCACTCCACATATTTCCTCAAAGCAATCAACATAATCTACAAAGCTCTCAAAATAATCTACAAAGCTCTCAACATAATCCACAAAGCTCTCAACACATTTCCCTGGAGAAATACTTCAGAAAGCAATTTCTGATTCAACATAGCAATTAAAGCTTCAAATATTCCCCAAGAAATCAACATATCCTGCTGTTACACACCCAGTTTTTTTCTTCTGAATTTCAAAACAACCAGTGATTTTTTTGAAGGGGACTTACATAGTACAGTAAACCAAACTGAGAATGTAACATAATCACATATACCTTTTCAAATCAAATATCTATATTTCTCAATCAGAGTTGTTTATTCAGTATGTAACTTTCTTTACTGTAAATACAGAACTTTTCCGCATAAGGGTAAAACCATGACTCCATTTTAGTGGAAAATTATAACATTTTTTTTTTGTCTAGGGGAAAAAATCCCATAGGCTGAGGGATACAGTCTGTATAAGAATGTAAAATATGTCGGAAAAAATCGCAGACTTCATAATCTCTCTGAGTTATCAGCCTCTCCACTCCTTGTCATAAATAAGTTTTCTCTATAAAATCAACATCATTCCTTTAAAGATCCTGTAACACAATTCTTTCATGGTTTTATTTCATAAGTATGATGCTCAAATAAAGATTTGTCAATGTTGTAATTTCCAATAAGCATTATTTATAAAGATATTACCCAATTTAACATTTCATGTAAATAAAGGGAGGTAATTTGAAATTTATTTTCTATAAATTCTAAGTCAAGTTTTCCAAAAAGAAATACATGCATGCAATTTACTGATTAAATATAATGTGCACAAATATTTGCAGTACACATTTTACATATTCTTTGATGTTTGAAAATTGTTTTATTTGCATAATTATATACATATATAATATCTTGCAAGTGTGGTATACACGCAGTAACAATATAAATCATAAAACATACAGGATCTTTAAGCAAACAGCATTATCCCCCCCACCCTTGCCCCCTCCCCCCTAAAAATACACAACCATTTTCATCTCAACATATTCACTCTCAGCACTCAAAATATTCACTCTAAGCATTCAACATATCCACTCTAAGCACTGAAAATATTCACTCTAAACAGTCAACATTTTCACTCTAAGCACTGAAAATATTCACTCTAAGCACTTAACATTTTTTCTATGGGCACTCAAATTAATATCTAAGGCACTTTACATATTTCACTCTATTCTCTTAACAATTCACTCTAAGCAATTCCTCCTCTCTGTTGACTCAAGACAATACCCTTTCTCACCTAACATATTCCAAATAAACAAAACATAAGTATGTTCATAAACAACACCTAACATCTTGATATAAACAAGAACTGTCAGTAAAACAGCATACTCAACTTTTCTCAGTGCTTGATAGCAAAACAAGTTCAAAAAGGACAATAGTTCGGCCCAAATTCATGTTTTGTGATTGAGATATGACAGTAACCTGCTACTATGCTCTCAAACAAGTCTGTGAAGTTCAACCTATTCCTTTTAGTAGTTTTGAAGATACACTGTACCAACTTAAATACAAAAACTTGACAAAAAGTGTGACATTAATGCCATCACCAACGCTGTCCCCGCCCCTGCACTTGGGTAAGTACAATAGCTCTACTTCAAAACAGTGGAGCTAATAAAATGATATCTGGAAATTAAATATTCAACATTTACAGCCATATAAAAAAAAGACGTAATTTAAATTTGACAAAATGAATATGTAAAAAAAAAAATAGCAATGCAATCCCTGATTCAACAAATTTATATTGCTTCACAACACTTGGAGATTTCACTGTGAATTTGAATTGTTATCTTGATGGTTGATTTGTGACAAGTACATATCTTTCAAATGTTTATTCTCTGGGTTGTTCAGCACCATTAGAACAAAATTCGATGTCTCTTTGCGTAACTTGGAAAGTTCTTGTTGTAAAAGTCGGCTTTTACGTAGCAGCTCGGCAGTTTTTATCGTAGTTTTCATTAACCCAGATTGTTGTAATGCTAATGCTGTCTGATTATAACGATACTTTTTCACGTCCGTTTCACCTTTTGGAGATTTCGGTGATTTTTGACTGTCCGCTTGACCTGGCGAATGTGCATTTGCGGAATACGGAGACGCTGGTGAAGGAATGCTGGGTGTCGTAAATGTTGAAAAAGTTGTTTTTGTTGAACAAATATCTTTTGTTGTGTTTTCATTACTTAATGCTGAGCTTATTACAGAGGTTTCAATGGAATCAGTTTTCTGAACCACACTTTGACTATGAACCGGACTTTGACTATGAACCGGACTTTGACTCTGAACCGGACTTTGTTTATGACCCAGACTTAATCCTGGAGATCCTCTTTGTAATTTATCATAAACTTGTGCAGCTATAGAGTGAGGTTTTGAATTTTTCAGTTTCGATATATACTGGCCATGTTTGGAATGTTTCTTGCGTCCAAAATATTCACTTATAGCTGCCTCGTAACACTGGTTATTGATGTTCTGCAGACCCATTTTCGGTTCTTTCATCTTTGCTGTTGATAAAAGTGATGGGAAATCAAAAGACTTTTTGTTAAATCTAGAAGCAGACTGTGAAAACTGAAAAGAATACAATAAGAATGTTTAAAATACAGAGTAAAATGGGATATTCAGATTAAAAATTGCTATCTATGAAGATTGTAAGCCTTTTATCTACAAAATTTGTGTAACAGATTTGGTTCAGTCTTGAATTTGGAACAGTCCATTCGAAGTTTTATACTGAATTACAAAAATTTAGCTACATAAGTTTCGAGCCTGGTCAGTCTGCATGGAAATGCCGCGAGGCTGAGCTTGCCTGCCTGGCTCTATACTGGTGGCAAACGTTACTCAATTTCCGTTTCAGTAATTCACATATTAAAGTACAAAGTAAAATGGGGTTTTCAAATTGTTTCTAGATTCAAAGTTATTATGGTCTGGATGTTCATATTAATCAAACAACTTTTTATATCACACAACACGATATATTTTTATCTTTTTTTTAAATGACTGGCACATAACATATAATGGCCATTTCTTGCAGATTTTTTTTAAATGTTACATTGAAGAAGAAATAAAATTCTAAACATACTGAGATCTCGGGCTGTTGTGTTGGTCCATCAAATGGTACCCTGTCATAGGCATCTGTAACTATAAATAAAAATCTCACATAGTAAAAAAAAGAAGAGAAAATGATGATGGCAAGAATATCGTGGAAGGCAATGGATTCTCTCTGAACTTAAACATTTGACAAAGTAAAAATTAAACAACAATATAATGTTTGAAAACCCTATTGTCTATTTTTAGCCTCAATGAACTTGAATGTACTGAGTGACCTTGAAATCCAGCCATGGTACAGGTCCTTGTAAAGTAATATTAAAAATCTATTGAGCCCTTATATGCATAACCTAATACATGAAAGCTTTCTGAGAAAATGTAAGAAAATCTAATTTAGCCTTGGTGAGTCAATAAATAAAGGTTCTCACATAAAAATATGAGAATTCAATTTTAATCTTGATCTTGATTGTGACCTCAAGCCCACCAAAGTTATAAAATAGCAGAAGTTATTTATATTTACAACTGGAAGAAAAATGATAGTCCATAAATAAAAATTCATCAGTTTCAGAACCACAATCCCTTGCACAAGTTTCATGATTAGCAGTTGTCTGATATGATAACTTTCCTTTATCATATCAACAAATCTAAGATTTACATCACTGTCAAAGTTTCGCATCTTTGCCCATACCAAAGAGAAATAACATCATGTTTCTTTATTCTTTTTCAATTACTTGCAGATAAATTTTTTTCATTTACTTTTATTCACATTGAGTAGCCTAACATTATTGTTTCTTGGAGAAAAAGTTCTTCCTTCCAAAATGAATAAGAATATGGATTCAACTGGAAAACGCAGTTTAATGAAAATTAAGCACAAAAAAAAAATATCTGTGTTCTAAAACCACAACTTACACTGTTCTTCATCTGGATGTGGCAGTATACTATTTTCGTCCCTTAGATCTTCCGCTGATATAGTACCTAATGTACTGTATGTCACTGTCACCGGTACAGTGCTCGTCCTCAACGTGTTCCAGCTAACCGTTACTGGCACTGTGCTCGTTTCCGAGGTGTTCAAACATACAGTTACCGGAACAGATTTTGTTTCTGATGTGTCCCAACTTACTGTTACAGAATGGGTGGAGCCAGGCGGAGACACTGCATCGTATGATAAAAGATCAGACTGACAACTTGAGTTGGGTTGCTTTATAAAATCCTGAAAACAAAGTAAAGCTCCTTTATTTATATCCATTAAGTTATTCGATGTTTGTAATGATAGCTTCAATTTTGGCTTGGCCTAGCTGCTTCATGTTGTTTTTTTTATTATCAAACTAATGTTTTCACAAATCTATCCATGCCACACTCTAACTGCCCATAAATAAATTTATTTTAACTTCACAATTTTTTGTTGTTGTTGCTCTAAATGCACATATTGCGGTTGGGTGGTAACAAGGCTTGCCGAGTTACTGTCCATGGGCAGGTTCCAGAAAGACGGATGTTCTGATCCGAACTGCAAACATGTCAGATATTTTCTCTTGTATATTCTACCATATTCAATTATTTAAACACTTTACTCTATTAAACTGTATTTATGTCATTACACCCGTAACTATTTTCTAGTTGTATGAAATTACAACTTTATTCTTAGCAGTAAAATTACGTCATCAAAAGCGTAACATTGGACAGCACACACTCATCTGGCACCCCACATGCCAGATGAAATTTCGAGCATAGGTAAAACTAACGGAAACGCCAGTCTGATATGCAAGAAACATATATCTATATTCAAATATATATAAGATATACATTGGGGAGAATAATGGGGCCAAATCTCTGCCCAAAAAATCAAGAAATGAGAGCCCTGCTTGTAAAACACTGACACTGTTTTCAGTACTTACAGTAAATCCCCAATCTTGTCTGTCTATAGAATTAACATCTCCTGAACTCTCATTTCTAGTTGTTTCTAAAAATAGATTAAAAAAATTTATAACATATAACTGTCATCAAAAAACATTTCTGGGAGTACTTCATTTTTTTCACATAGAATAAAAAGAAAACACACAAAAAATTTAAAAAGTGCAGAGAATTTTCTTAAACTTTGCATGATTAAAATGTAAATTGAAACAAATTGATGGAAAAATTTGAGAATTTTCAAAAGAAAATAACCCAATTGCAGTACACCAAGAAATTTCTTTTAACTTTTCTTTAAACATTGAATGCTTTAAGTATGATGAAAATTAGAGAATTAGAACTCCTAAAGTAATATTAGGTACAAAAACACACATCTGAGTGTTTAATGATAGTCATACATACATAGGCTGAAACTTTATATAAAATGCATTTAAAAGGCACATTGACTATCATAATATGCACATAAATCAGATTTTATTTTGAGAAAACGCCATCAATTTTGTATATGTTTTAAAACAGGACCATGGATATCCCTTTCTTTCTATGAGAACTATCTCAGGAGTGTCTACAGTTCTAATTTCCTAATAACAAACAGTAATTATATAGTCTGTAGAGAATTTCCTTCCTGTTGAGAAAATCAATGTCAGCATCATGTGTTATACAGCATTTTAATAACTGCTGGATTTTTTTTGAAAAAAGTTTGTTGTATTTAAATTTGAAATAAGCATTGGGGTGGCTGTCATTTCATAAAATACTTGCTATAATACCATAGTTATCAGCTCCACTGAGGTTAACACTCATACAAGCATAAAATTTGAAATTCTTACATTGATCAAGTGACGCACTTGAAATGGAAAACTCTGCTAAGGACATGAAGGTCAATAAAGAAATTTTACTCAGAATCTAATTAATTTTGATTTTTGTGCAATTGTAAGCCCATTTGAGTGAAAAACATTGCATAGATTTTCATTTTTATAAGATAACAAGAAGGGTTTTTGTCACAAAAACATATGTCTCCAAAAACTATGTATGGTCACTCATAATTATGAAGTTTCATTGAAATCCAAATGATAAAACTGGATAGCTGTGCAGCAAGCGGAATGTGTGTGCTAGTGATGTGCACAACTAGGGATGGTACTGATCACTCCTGTAAAGTTTGGCTGAAATCCCACCAGTAGTTTGACCTGTGAAAGCCGGAAAAGATTTTTCTATATATAGCTCTGACGGCCATTTTGTGCAGCTAAGTCAAATGTGCCGTTGATGTGCACAACTAGGGATGGTACTGATTACCTCTGTAAAGTTTGGTTGAAATCCCACCAGTGGTTTGACCTATGAAGACCTGACAAGATTTTTCTATTTTTAGCTTTGGCAGCCATTTTGTGCAGCGAAGCAGAACGTGCTGGTGATGTGCACAACTATGGATGGTACTGATCACTCCTGTAAAGTTTAGTTGAAATCCCACCATTAGTTTGACCTGAGAAGGCAGGACAAGATTGTTCTATTGCTCTGGCAGCCTTTATTTGCAGTGAAGTGGAATGTGCCGGTGATCATCATCATCATGCAGCGCACATCTAGGTATGGTACTGATCACCCCTGTAATGTTTGGTTGAAATCCCACCAGTAGTTTGACCTGTGAAGGCCGGACAAGATTAATGCGGATGGACAGACAACGGAACGGACGGACTGTGAAGGCATAAACTATATGTCTCCCAAAAATTTTCAAATTTTAGGAGACATAATTATTCTGGAAGAACAAAGTGAGAGTCATTATGATCTAAAAATAAGCACACAAGTTATTGGTAAAGACCTACATCAAATGGAACACGAATATGGGAAAACATTTTTCCAGTCCTGGTCAATGTCAAAAAAAATCTCAAGTGGAGTTTTCCTTTTAATTTAACATAATGTTAAATCATCCTCATCAGGAAGCATTAGTTGATACTTTTTTTTCAGAACAAGAATATTGGTGACAATCATCGGAAAAAATTCCTTGATACTGCTATGGGACATAGTAATCAAATAATTATTGGAGCACTGTATTTTAAAAATCTAACAATACATTAGAGTGATTCAGAAAAATAAACAATGTAATAAGAACGAGTGAAAATTGACAGTGTAGAAGTTTTGAATTAATCCAGATATTGTTAAAGTAAAAAATCTCGAACCTGCCCATCAAGTGACAACAGGTTTCAAGGCGAGGCGGACTTTTATAGAACTGTGCGTGCATGGGCAGTTTACGTGTTCTCTTCCCTTGTTTACTGTTATTTAACGTTTAAGTGAACATTTAGTATTACACTTAGCATTCATGTTCTCTTTTCTTTACAGTTATAACCATTGGTGGACCTTGACTCGGCTTTTTAAAATTCTATGAAATCTTCACCGTTTATACCTGACATGCAAACAAGTATATAGCTCGTGTAGTCTGACCAGTCTTCTATTCCTTTGGAACACATCAAAGCTCAATTTTTTTCTTTTCCATATTAAAATTTGTTAATGTTTGATTGGACTGTTCAAAACTTCACCAATGGGCAAATCCACCTACATTAAATTCAGGCAAAAATAAGGGTAAAATGACTGAAACCCTAAACCTCCCTGAATTATTGTAATGAACTAGTCTGCTTTGTATTTGGAGCTTAATATTCTGAAGAACAAGGGAATGGGATTAAATTGTCATCTCTTGGCTTTAGAAAAAAAAAACAAGAGGGCCATGATGGCCCTGAAGTCACTCACCTGTATATAGGCCCCTGAAGCGGGGCCAGTTTAAACCCCAGGGCTTTTATTTGAACAAACTTGGTAGACACCCATTAGAAGATGTTTCATGCTAAACATCTAAGGTCTAGCTGGTCAAGTTATTTCTTTACACATTTAGTTTAAAAAACAGTGACACACCTGGGGCGGGGGCCAATTTTGACCCCCCAGGGCTTTTATTTGAACAATCTTTGTAGACACTTACTAGAAAATGTTTCCTGCTTAATATCTAAACTCTAGCTATTCGGGTTTTTTTCAAAGAATTTTTAAGTTTTTGCTATACACATAAGGAAAATCAATTTACCCCGGGCGGGCCCAATTTTGACCCCAGGGCTTTTATTTGAACAAACTTTGTAGGACACTCACTAGAAGATGCTTCGTGCTTAATATCTAAACTCTAGCTATTTGAGTTTCTTCAAAGAAGATTTTTTTAAGTTTTTGTTTATACACAAATAAGGAAAATGAAATGTCTCCCCGGGGCGGGGCCAATTTTGACCCCAGGGCTTTTTTTTTTAACAAACTTGGTAGAGACTCACTAGAAGATGTTTCATGCTTAGTATCTAAACTCTAGCTATTTTTTTTTTTTCAAAGAAGATTTTTTAAGTTTTGCTATACACATATAAGAGAAATCAATGACCCCCGAGGCGGGGCCAATTTTGACCCCAGGGATTTTATTTGAACAAACTTGGTAGACACCCATCAGAAGATGTTTCATGCTAAATATCTTAGCTCTAGCTCTATGGGTTCTTATTCTTATTAAGTTTTTACTATATGCATATAGGGAAAATCAATGACCCCCTTGGGCGGGGCCAATTTTGACCCCAGGGCTTTTATTTGAACAAACTTGATAGACACTTATTAGAACATGTTTCATGCTAAATATCTTAGCTCTAGCTCTTTGGGTTCTTTAAAAGAAGATTTTATAAGTTTTTACTATATGCATATAGGGAAAATCAATGACCCCCTGGGGCGGGGCCAATTTTGACCCTAGGGCTTTTATTTAAACAAACTTGGTAGACACCCATTAGAACATGTTTCATGCTAAATATCTTAGCTCTAGCTCTTTGGGTTCTTTAAAAGAAGATTTTATAAATTTTTACTATATCATATATATGCATATAGGGAAAATCAATGACCCCCTGGGGCTGGGCCAATTTTGACCCCAGGGCTTTTATTTGAAAAAACTTGATAGACACTCACTAGAAGATGTTTCATGCCAAATATCTAAGCTCTACCTCTTTGGGTTTTTTAAAAGAAGATATTTTAAGTTTTTTCTATCGGTTGCCATGGCAACCAGAGATCTGCATGGAATTAAATTCTTTGAACAATTTTTAAAGGTGACCACCAAAGGAACATTCCTGTGAAGTTTGGATGAAATTGGCTCAGCGGTTTATGAGGAGATGTCATTTAAAGAAAAAGTTTACGGACGACGGACGGACGATGGACGGACGCTGGATGAAAAGCGATCACAAAAGCTCACCCTGTCACTTTGTGACAGGTGAGCTAAAAACTTGAAATGATACGTTCAACTAAAACTATTTTCAATGGACTTGCTCATCTTTCAATTTCATCATTTTTAGGAAAAATTTAAACCTTGATTTGACTGAATAGCAAACAAAAAATGAAATTATTCTAGTATTGGATATAAGGTATGTTCAAAAGTTGTTTTAGTTTCTCTAAAACTCCTAATTTCAACTTTTCAAGTTTTTTCCCACAATTCAAACACATGTGGCATTGTCAAAGTCTCAAAAAAAAAAGCCTGCATATTAAATTTCTGTAAATAAGTAATAAATGTCCTGGCCATAAAAAAAATCACTTGGACCAGAAATTAAGCCGGACATACTGGTCTTTGTGGCTAGAAAATATTCTGACTTTAACACTGACTGAAATTGGTTGATTTTTTTTTTTGATTTTTTTTTTAAAATTTTTTTTTTTTTATATACTATTGCACTTTTCAAATTTAAATCAGGAGTAAATTTCCACAGTAACCTTCTTTAGAGGTAAGATCAGACATGAACATGGTCTGATATAAGGACCGATCATTCACCACCAGTGGTGTTGTATTCCTTGGACTTTGCGTTTCATCTTTTCCAGCATACTCCAGACTGTTATACTGCTGCGAAATGGTGTCTACGCCGCTGGGAGAACACGACCTGCTTGACAATAAACCGAACTCATCCGAGTCGAGACTATGAAACGACATCCTGTCATTTGTCTGAAAATAAAATTTAAGAATTTTTTTCAATTTATATAAACACCTGAATATTGTTTTGCAGCAGCATCAAATAAATTTTTATTATGTTCAGTTCTACTTATTTCTTCCAATGTAGCTTAATTTAGGAGCTGATTTTAATTAGATTGCATCAAATATTGCCCTTTTGCGACAAATCTTTTTCTACCACTTTTCCAACAAATTTAACCTCACTGTCTTCTAAGGAACAAAGACACAAACAATCATTGTTACAATGTTATCTTGTTCCCATTCATTTGCATCAAAAACAGACACATTGAGGTAATTATATAACTGAAGTAACTTTCCAGAATTTTTTTTTTTAAGAACATTATAATCTAGTATTACCTATTATTAGGTTCTTCCAAGCCACAACAGAATTTTATAAATACATATAAACAATACCAACTATTATGGTATCTGAGTATCAAAGCATTATACTAAATTGTATTCTAAAAAAATCCTCATGTATAAACTTTCGTCATGAAAAACGTCTCGGTTTTCAGAAACTTAAAGTCAGGTGCAAACAATGGTATGCTTGCTGACATTTTTCTTCATTACTCACACTGAGTTGAGACACACAAAATTGAAAATGTTGCAGGCTCGGTTTTATTGAGTCATGGATGGTAATGGTAAGTGCAAGCTACCGTCCATTAATCCCCCTAGCACTGGCTTTAAACAGTTTTCAACATTCATATACAATGTACATGTATGTACATGTATATGAAAGTGGTTAAATTTTGAATTTAATTGTAGAAACATTGGGTCCAACCAGAATTTTACTAAATAGTCATCCAATAAATCAATGGACTTAAAGCAAATGGTTGGTTGTATGGCACTGTTGGTTTGTCAAGTTTTGCAAACAATATGAACTGATAATTATTAGATAATTTGCAGTACCGGAACATGCTGAGAATAAAATGTAAACATATTTATTCAGAAGAAGAAAAAACAATACATCGATAATTATCCTCTTTAAAAACAGTCTCACCGTTTTAAATTTTCAACATCTGATCAAATTGTATTTTTTTTTATTATATGTAATGCCAGCAACTACAAATATTAAAGGCCCATTATGCCTCAGAAACGCCAAATAATTTTATTTCACGAAAAAAAATTCATTTTTTGTTATTCTGTTACAGATTTCACAGT